TATCAGTGCGTGTTTATGCTGAAATTAACAAGACATTAACATAACGGAGTTTCCAGCATCAGCTAAACCAGGGCGTTCTGCGAGGTTACTGATGCGCGCTAGTGCTTCTGGAGGACAAAATTACCTCTTGCTCAGGTCGTGTGCTCTTCTGAGCTGCTCCCATCGCACTGCTGCTAACTACCTACCTCACTGTGCATCAAGGCCACGTGGAGAATCATGGTGTTAAAAATACAGCTTGCAGCAGCCTCGATTGAGCAGTACAGCCAAGTTAATGTATGCGTGTATAGTGATTTCTTTTCAAGAGTTCAGCACTTTATTTTTGAAACTGTTAAGAACAATGTTGGCATATTCAGAGTGCCAGAAATAAAATCATACACATTTCTTGTACTACTCTGTGTTAATAATTATGTCAGGTTTCACAAAAAATTAATGCGATCCTCCTAAATTCTGTGAATGGCAATACTACCAGCAAATGGGATTGAGAGGGTGACACTTATTCATATGGTTGATTGTACTTGATGTCTAAAGAAAAAGTGAACTCCAACTGAAAAGTTTTTAATGGCTGGAGCATCTGTATGATCTCTTTCACAAACACTTGCTTTCTCCCAGAGTGTTTATTTCCCTCTGTGCAGACACTAATAAGACGCTTTCCCCTATCTGGCTGTTTTCCCACGCAACATGCCATAATAAGTAGGGGCCTTTAAATTCAAGCACAGAATTTTTCTGTGAGATTTAACTATATAGCAAGGTGCTATTTATTGATGTACTTAATGTCTCTGAATTTATTGTAATGGTTAATCTGTTTCTTTAAAAGCTTCATATTTTACAGGGATGGAACTTGATTTACAAACAAGAGATTGGTGTGCTTGTGCCTTTTAAACAAACAGAATTCACGGCTTTTAAATAAACAGGAGTATGCAAATTGAGGGTATTTTTCATCAGCCCCCTGTTACTTTCATATCTTAACTAATCCTTTTGGCTATTAAAATAATTTGTGGGAAAAGCTGCTGTTCCACTGATTTTTTTTCCCTGTATTTAGCTCACAGAAACTAAGTCGTAAGGGGTGTACTCTATGCTATGGATAAAACCACAGCAAAGTGGTGCCAGCACTGAGGTGTACGTGTGCTGTGCGTACTTGGTGTGTACCTAGGCCTTAAAGACTGCATCTCCAGAAAAGCAATTTGATTCACTCCAGGTTCACGGGGTCACATTTCTTCCCTTGGGGGGGGCTCTTGGGGGGGGGGGGAAGGCGTCTTGTTAGGCCTTTGGTTTCTTTTAATATGGAAAGTTATTTTCTAGCTCATTGTGTAGTCATTTAACTTGCATCTGGATGTATTAACAGAGTATTTGATGCTATTTTTTTCCCTTCTTGCCCCCATCTTTTGCTTTCCTCCTTCCCCTAAAAATATCTTCCATTTTTCCCACCAGTTCATAATCCCTGAATTGCAAACCTTATCTGTGGAGTTTTAATACCAAACTTCCCAAACACTTTGTTTATCTTTCTTCTGAAAAAATGGCATATTGATTATATCTTTGAAAAGTATTTTCTCTCTTATTTGTTCCATAACACTTACCTTTATTGAATACCATAGGTGTTATTTTTTACTTCCTGATCAGTTAGCGTATTTCTTTTAATTTCCTCACAGAAAGAAATCAAAAGTTTTTTGATGTAATGACCATCTGCCCATTTTCATGTCTTGTACCCAGCAAAATGGACACAGACCTAGATGGGGGCTTCATATGTTACCTTTATACAACTTCTTAATAAAAGAATGAATCCTTTATTATAAATAAAGGAATTAACAATGAATTGCAAGGCAGGAGTGATACCTGTGTATCTCATGTTATACAAATTAAGGCACAGTATTATATATGTGTGGGAAGTTTCATGTTGGGTTGATGGCATTTGTAACATCTTGGTCAGATTATGAAATTGCATTGTCAAGGATCTCAAAGAATAGGAAGTCATTAATTGCTCTTTCTGATATTGGAGCAGTGAAATTTTTTTATGGTGGCTCAAATAGAAGTTTTGTAGACTCTTATACTGTGTAGTAACCTTTAGAGTATTATATATGTGTGGGAAGTTTCATGTTGGGTTGATGGCATTTGTAACATCTTGGTCAGATTATGAAATTGCATTGTCAAGGATCTCAAAGAATAGGAAGTCATTAATTGCTCTTTCTGATATTGGAGCAGTGAAATTTTTTTATGGTGGCTCAAATAGAAGTTTTGTAGACTCTTATACTGTGTAGTAACCTTTAGATTTGGTGCATTTGATCTATCCTCTGTCTGTCATTGGAAACTGCAGTGGCAGTTATGTCTCGCAATGGTGTGAAAGCCGTAGGATTGTGATGGTAATCATTTATACTAGATATATTACAATAAATTCATTTTGTTCCAGTAGAGGGAGATCACTAGTATGAGTTACCCATGCTTTTCGGCATATGCATACATGATTTGGGTAAGAGGATGCAGGGTTGAAGTTAATTTGAAAAATGTATGAAGTTATTCAGTGTGCTAAAAGTACTGAGTAACTGAGAGAGTAAACAGCTGACAAAGTTAATACTGATAAACACTGACTGCTTTAAATGGGGGAAGATGTTTCTAATTTTACATATACAGTAGTGGGCTCTTAATTAGTTGTTAGCGCTCTGGAGAGAGAGAGTGGTATTACAAAATATAAATGTTTGAAAATGTTAGCCCAATGTTTAGTAACCATCAAGAAACAGGTAAAATGTAAGGAATTATTCCTTTGAAATAGAGAGCAGACCCCTAAATCATCCCTGTGTCATTCTGTAAGTCCCCGTTGTGTTTTCCTGAGCTGCAGTATTGCCTGTAGTTCTGGACTTCCCATCCCGGAAGGATGCAGTGGGATAGAGGAGATAGGAGCGGTGAAAGCGACCAGCAGTGCCGAGTGGCTTGCTTGGCACCAGCAGCAAACCAGACCGGACCTCTCAAGCCAGGAAGGGTTTTGATGGGGTGTGAAGCAGTGAAGGGCTTGTTTGAGAGATTTGTAGCATCACAGGCTCCATAGATAAGGTGAATAGAGGGCATCAGATGAAATTCATAATGTGCAGATTCAAAATAAAACAGAGATATTTTTTCTCATAATATGCATTTAAACCGTGGAACTCAGAGAATGTTGTGAATGCTGAAGGATGGTGGCTCAGGTTTAAGAAACAAACAAACAAAAAAATCTAACACCCCTCCTACCCCCAAAAGTGTGAGGAAGAAAATCCCATCCTAGTCTTTTAAACAGAAAAAATATCACCACTGATTCAAGAAATGTTTGATCTATTGGTTACTGAAAACTGAGAGTATACTCCAGGGAAAGCGTCATTATGTCATTGCTCGGTTTTCTGTCGTTCACATCTTCTGTTGCTCCCTGTCAGAAATCAGGTAGTAAGGGAGATGGATTTTGAGTCTAGCTTTGGCTGTTCTTGTAACTGGTATGTAGATTCGTCTGGTCAAGGAAGATAACATCACTGAACATTGCAGAGTATGTGTTATACATTGCATTGCAAACAATGGAACTACCTTAAATAGCTCAATTACGTTTATGTCCGTGTTCTGCATGTGTAAATTACTGGTATATCATTTGATTGGGGGTAAGAGAAGACTAATATTCACTCATAGTTGTGAAATTATTATTTTACTTGATATCACTCAATTTTGAGGAGAAATCTGTATGATTGTAGAGAGTTCTTTCATTGGAAATTGGGTCTTGAATCTGTTTTCTAGAAATTTTTTTTTCCTGGCTTTATTGTTTAACAGTTCATCTTAAATGGCAAGATATGGAGAGCCTTTGCTGGTGATAACATTGAAATACTTGTAAATGTGCCCTTCTCAAGGGGCACCTTGAGATCCCTCCTTCGCCTGGGGATGATTTTGGAGAAAAAGTAGTGTATCTGCTATTAAGCAGCCTAGGTGATACTATGTTTGTATCTGTCAGAGCTATCTGAAAATCCACTCAATAGAGATGTATCAAAATATGTGTAAATTAAGGGCCACAAATATATGATCTTTCTCTGTGAGATTAAATCTATTTGGTGTCTTAAAATTAATTTCCAAAGCATAGTAATTTGATTCCTAGTATCAAATAAAAGTTTACAAATAGTTCCCTTCGTTTTTTCAGAAACAGCTAACCAACTGGAGGTTTGTAAGGGTGTGTTTAAGCTGCTTTTGGTGTGGTTGAACTGGAAGTTGGAAACTCTTCCTGTGGCAGATGCATTCTTGCTGTATAACTGCTTTCCCTTTATTTTCAGAAATGCTACTCAATGTTTTAGCTAGCATTCTGGTATTGTACCATTGTACCGGTGTTTATTTTTACATATTTAAATTACAAAAAATGCATAAGAGTCTGCTTGCATTTGAAAGGACAAAACTTAATAGTGTGTGTGTCTGTGTATATATATAAAAATATAAACCCTTGTGATCTGTGCTTTTAACGTGTTATGTCAGATCACATCACTGATGTTCTTCTATTCTTATGGTCGCAAGGCTTTTTTTCCACATCCGAAGAAGTCAACAGGGATAGCATCTTTGATGTTCGGAACAGAAAGTCTAAGTCTACTCACTAACTTGCTTGTATATGTAGGACGTTGGTGGCATATATTTGGTAGCAAAGGGCCTTTACTTCTCAGACTGTGCAATACTAACAATTGCCTTACTGAATTGGAACATAAATGTAGGAGAATGATACAGGACTTATTGGTTTAGCTGGCCTGTGAATTGACTTATGAAATGTAGGAAATTTTGTGTTCTTATTAAGTCAGAACAGAATTCTTGAATGCTTTGTTCTAATTTTAATTCCTTTTTAGATTTAGAAATTTAAAAGATTGTAAATGCATACCAGTCTCAGGATATTTCAATTACTTTATTGAACCATGTTAGAAAAGTTTTGTACAAAGGTGCAAAAATTGTTTGAAGTGCAGTATCTTGTTCTTCATTCAGTCTAGAAACTTCCTGAGTGCCTAATTGTTTGTTTTGTTTCCTCTTAGATGAATCGACTCCCAAAGAAGTCAGCAGGGTAAGTGCTACTCTCTATCCCCTCTAAAAAGAAGATTAGTTTTTGAGCCCTACTGTTCACTTGAGATGATTTTTGTGCAGTCTCTGATCAAGAGTTGACTCTATTCCCTGGACATAGTGGATCTCCAGAGAAAAAAAAATCGGTGTACTGACTGACTAGAGAACAGTTAATAAGGAAAATAAATATTAAGAACACTTGATTGGCTGTAAATAAATTAAAGGATATTTTGCATTAACAAATTCAGAGTTCTCACAGTGCTATTTTTGTGATTGAGTTTTAAAAAGGTACTTCATGGAAACCAGGAAAATCATGGGACTTTGAGATTAGGCATAACAGCAGACTATTTAATCAGTGTTACTGCCTCGAGAGATGGCAAGCATAAGAGGAAACAAGGCAAGGAATATGCCCTACCTAGTAACTCCTTTTGAGATGTGCTGTTCTACAGATGAGCTAAATTCTTCAATTTGAAATATTTTGCAGTGTACTGTATGAAATGTAATGTAAAATCTTAAAAAACATATTCAGTAATAAATTCCCAGCTCTAGCCTTGCATCTGATTGACCCTGTGTCCTGCAGAATATCAGTCCATGGTGGAGGACTTGTTAGGGGGATCTGTTAGATACTAGTGCCTTTGCTGGGTATGACAAAAGATCAGTACAGGACAACCTGTTGCCCTCAGATGTGTCCAGTCAGCCCGAAGCCCCTAAATGTTATTTCATATAAGATGAGGGACCCACTTACAGCTTTCTGAGGTGCAACCATAATCCTGTTTTGCTCCTCTTCTTGAATGTCTTGCATAAACTATTTCACGTTCCCAGGAGAAACACAATAGTGTCAGACACATATTAAGAACAAGGCTGATTGAAAGACTGCAAAAGCCGGCTGGGTGGTCTTGCTCTCAGTAGAAGTCCTTTGGAAAATACTAGGGTATGGAAGGAGGGGAAACAGGCTGGTAGTGGAAACCTCAGTTTGGTAACCCCGAGAGCAGAGGGCTGGCATAAGGGGGAACTGAAGTTCAGCTCTTACGAGACTATGAAAAAGAGATTAAATGATGTCTAAAATGAGTTTATTCAAGCAAAAGTTCTCCATATGTGTGATGTGCTATAGATGTATAAGGGTCTTGAGAATTTAGGTGAAAATTAATACGTTTTAGTAATTTATTAATTTATAAGAGGTTTTTTGGTCACCCCTTAGTATTCAGCAGTTATGGCAGTTGAGTAAATACCTATCGGTGCAACCAAAGATTATTGTTATTAGTATATCTGTATATATTGTTTTGATTTCAAAGTAATTAAAGGTCTGCCTAAAAATCTCAGAAGCCGTAATTATTTCTGTGGAAGAAAGTTCATTTTAATTGTTGTTAATGTGGTAAATAGATTCACATTTTACCTTAAACTCTGTAAAATGGAGTTACAAAACATATCTAGGTTACCACATTTGAGCTATTTAAGGCAGAAAAAGCAAGCTCTGGAACCCTGAAACTCCCCGAGTCTGCCCTACCAGTCACCCCCTCCGTCTCTCAGACATGCTGGTCCCAGCCATCTCAGCCCCCGAAGTCATGTGTAGTGACTCAGAGTTTTCCTGAAGATGGATGGGCTGTCACTTCATGTCCTGGAGTCAGTGAGGTGCAGATGATACTTCAGATGTTCTTAAGTAAATGTTTTCTCCCTTGGGTTTTTTTTTTAGCTATCAATCATTGTGCACTTGATGTGTATACCGTGTTACACTACTATTTTTTTTTTAAAGTACACTACTTGAGGGCACTCAGTAATGCACCGTACTACAAATGAACATGTTTGTTAGTTTCTACTGTTTTTGAATAATGCCGTATATAATAATGTAGACCATTGTGATACATCCTCTTCCGTCAGCAGCAGCTCAAACAGATGCCAGTTTAATTAAAATCTAAACATAAATTAGAATTTAAATTAGGAAAGTTCTGTACGTGAGTAATGTTTTTCAGACAAAAAGACATGTTCATGCTGACTGAAGAATTATGAGTTTTAAAGTCATTAAGTGTTACATTTTTAATTCCTGAAAATGTCTGCAAGAAGCAGCTTATATCATAGGGAAGCAAAAATAAAGGTTAGTGAAAGGAAATTTATTGCAGAATTAAATCACCAACTGGTTTAAAATATTATATTAGTTAGGAACCAAGATAGAAATATGCTGAAAAAAATGCGGTTTTTACCGCATCTTTCAATTTTGGGCAGAGTGAAAACATTAAAATATTCACAGTCTCAGGCTGTGACATCAGTTGCTTCAATAGTCTCCTTTTCTGCTGTGCTTACACAGGACAACAGAATTAAATTGGGGGAGGATATTTTTTGTTAAATTTCTTTAAGCCCTTTCTCCCCCCCCCCCCCAAAACCACCC